ACATCTTTGTTGGTATGTGGTGCTGAGGATCGAACCCGGGTCGCACGCATGCCAGGCGAGCGCGCTACCGCTTGAGCCACATCCCCAGCCCTCATTGTAATTTATTATCACTGTAAATAATTTTCAGCCAGTCCATGTAGTCACTGTTGCACATTTCTCATACAATTTTGTATTTTCCCTGTAATTAATGATCTTTTTTGTTTGCTTCGTTTTTAGTATTCTTATCAATAATTTATTTCCAAATTGTTCAAGAGAACTGAACTCCTGTTGGTTATAATCAGGAAATCAATCATTTTTTTTTGTTTGTTTTATTGGCAGCATCACCTCTGGACTTTTTTATCTTTTGCTCCATTTGAAACTGATTACACTGTGACTTGCACAGCAATTGGGTCTTTAAAGAGTCTTTGCTCTTGGTCCTATGTTGGAGACTTTTTCCTAGATTTCATGATTTTTCTAATTTTGTTTACTGTTTTGTTTTATAGAGCATATCCTCCAGAAGTTTCCTTAGAAGGGTTGCCTGGGAAGTAGATTTTTGAGACTTTACCTGATTATTTAGTAGTTTGCCAGTGTGTAAATTTCTGGTCTGGAAATTGTTTTCTATTGGAATTTTAAAGGCATTGCTTCATTGTATTCTAACTTCCCTAAGAAAGCTTAGGCAATCCAGATACCTAGTCTTTGTTTTGGATTGTCTGTCCCCATGTAGATATTTAAGTTACAGCTTTCTCTATTCTGCTTATTCTGTTACCACTTATCCATGTACTTTGTTTTCCAAAATTGTGTTGGTTTTGCTTTTTTCCTTTTTGTTCTTGTTGTTTTACAACATTGCTGTAACTACTTCGTGGGTTTCAGAAGAAAGTAATGATAATTTGCCATGTTAAACTAGAAATCTGATGACATGCTTTCTTTAAAATACTTTCTTTTTGTGGTGCTAGGGATTGAACCCTGAGGTGCTCTGCTACTGAGCTACATCCCTACCCCACCCCCTTTTTAAAATTTTCAAATAGGATCTCACTAAGTTGCTAAGGCTGGCCAGGAGCTTGCCATTCTCTTGCCTCAGCCTCCCAGGTTTGGGATTACAGGTGTATGCCATGTAAAGAAAAATATTCCTGAGACTCTCAGTATAATTAACCAAATTAAAAAAGTTAATCATGTACTAATTTCTTTGATAATATTTTTCTTATT